AGTCACCATCTGATCAGGATATATGTGCATCTGATTGGGAATAGTCAAATCCATTATCCCTCATTAAAGAAGTTGAAAGTAGAGATTCCCCGATTGCACCACTCTACACTGTTGTTTCTATATCTCTCTAATATCTATCCAAAAGAAAAACCAACGCTCGATGCAATAAAAACAAGACCATGTTTCAGAAACAATCATAGACATTTGTTAAGACAAGAGGAATAATGTTTTCCTTTTCCCTACACAGAGACAGAACCTTGTATCTGTAAATTGGGAACAATTAAGAATGGACTGGACAAACTTCAGCACAGGTCACTCAGAACTAGAAGATGGTAGTTTGAAGTGAATTCTTTTAACTGCTTGAATGAGGGAATGGAAGAAAATAATTTAATGCAAAAAACTAGATCTTCCAACTGACACTTTTTTTTTGTTGGGGAGTACCAAAAGACAGAACTTGAAGAAGTAGTATCTGCCACCGGCACTATGAGGCTTTGGTACAATCTACAACAAACTATTGGAATACCATCAAAGAATAAGGTGATTTGACACAGATCAGTTGTCGTCTTGCTAATTGTATTAATCATTACAAGCAATTACAACTTTGATGAGTGCAAAGAGAAGGTTTAACAAATTAGATCAATGGACTGAATTTTACCAGAAATCAGCAAAATCTCACCTGAGTTTCATAACGGGTTCCTTTCTGCCAGCCCTAGCGAGATTTATCACACTATTCTGCACGACTCTCTTCATTAGCTATCCACCACACCTCAATGGCACCCTCCTTGTCTTATCCTCCCTCTCGTCAGAGGCAGAAGTACTTGCCATGACTGGAACCATCTGGGATTCCCAATGCCAGTGCTTTACTTAAAGACCAGCTGAACACCCAAACAAGCTTTGCCAGCCAGGAATTGCCCTTCACTATCTACACAGAGTATAGGAACCAAAAAGAAACACTTTTCATGACACAAAGGTGCCATGACTGACATTTAATTGCAAATACAAGAGCACATTTGTAAATTTAATGCAATTTAAGAACTGAGTTTCACAGGTTCCTCATCCTTTGCCTCATCCCACCTTAGAACTGTGTCTAAGGTAATGCTACTCTTCCTTTACTGCCCAGTGTAGCCTATATCTTAGTCATGCCAACCAAGATGCCAGGATGCCACTGATGTGACCATCAGTGATGCCACAACCCATGCAGATTCTTCAATGCACTATCATCTGACCCCCCCCCGACTTAAAGGCTGAGTTGTCCCCTTTAACATTATTGTCCCGCCTGCTTCCCAGCATGTTATGTCCAATCCCCAGAATTGACTTTCCCCATTTCCCTAGCACAGCAGTGGTCCCTGTTAATTCCTCTTGATTTTCATTGAGCTGACCCTCAGGACTGTTCACGGCCCACACCTCTGATCAATTTGGATGAATAACCTCAACTGATGAATTACCAGACCACTGAGTGATCTCTGTGCAGCTTCCTGACTCACTTACTGTGACCACCCAGATGTAGTAATGAAGGAGGACCCAGCCTGGGCACCAAGCAAATAATTGACCATCTCCGAGTCCCTGAACAGATAGCAGACAATACCCTTGACTTACTGTGCTGGGACAACGTGACATGTAAGCTGTCTTCCTTAGCCTGACTGAGGAGTACACCACATAGACTTTGAGACAATGGGCATCCAGGTGAAGCACATTGCTGTGTGTTAGCCACATTCACTGCTGGTACATAATAAAGATGTAACACTGACAGAGCACAGTGCCGTACAGCAACATGTCCTTTGGCTGATCACTGTTGACAACCCTGACAGGCTGCCCAGCTTTGTGCCCATGCTAAACAGCAAGGCAAGACAGATGAACAGTCAGCCTGCAGCTGAGAGGGCAAAATGCCAAAAGGCAAGGCAGAGATGCTGTCAGCATCAAAGTTGGCACAAAGCAAATCAGTGCTAAAAGATGAGCGAGGAGCCCTGAGATGCATCGTGGTCCAACCAATGAGGTGAGTGCATGCTCCCTGTGCACTAAATGTCCTGGCAGCACCATTACAGTGAATGGTGCTGGTGTCCCAAAAGTGCAACATTGGAGTGCAGAACCATATTGACATTGGTTGGAGATGTTAGCCGAGGATGCCATGATGCTGGGACATTACAGTCATGGACGAGGATGTGGTTATGAGATGCATGAGATATTGACGATTGTGTCCAGGATGGAGGCTTGGAGAAGCAAATAGCGAGCTGGACTTTACTTTTATTCACTTGTGGGATGTGGGACATGGGCGACACTGGCTGGGCCAGCATTTATTGCCTGTCCCTAATTGCCCCTTGAAAACGTGATGGTGAACTGCCTCTTGAACCGCTGCAGTCCATGTTTCTCCAGGACATTCTGTTTTTCAGCAAGGTAAACATCTTGACTTCTATGAAAAGGAGCATACAACGGGAGTGAAAATTATCTTGGGCTGTCCTGTGGAACAACTGAAAACAAATTGACAACCAGTTCTCCTTTTATCCACATCAAAATTTCCATTCGCATTTTATATGTGTCACGTCCAGTGTAAGTATGAAGATGTCACAATTTTGTTTTAAAGCTACGTTTTAGAAAGAATGTAACCACAAAAGACAACAAAAACAGCCGTGCAAGGACTTCATGGCGTCTTTTGTGATTTGAAGCAATCTGTAGTCTCACGTAGTCAACCAAGCAACGAAGTAATCACATTATCTTGACACGGTTTTACAGCATTTTACAAAAGAAAAAATACAAGGTGAGAAGAACACTTTTAACACAATGAGTGGTTAAGGACTGGAATGTGCTGCCTGGAAGTGTGATGAAGGTACATTCAATTGAGGTTATCAGGACAATGGGATGTCAGTGAGGAACTGGGTCAAGGGTCAGGGGGCGTCAGAATGTGTCTGTAGTGAGTTGAAGGTTCAGTTTAATAGTTAGTTTTTCCATCCTCTAACTTTTCCTGGGTAATTACCAGGTTTAAAAGCATCACAACTCTCCAATATCTCTCAGAGGAGAGGGCTTTTTTTTGAAGGTTCCAGAGGGCAGGTAATTACTTCAAAGAAATTTCAACTTCCAAGGCAAATCCCAGAGGGTTAGCTACATAGTCCCGATACTCAACTCAAGTCTATATTACTGCAATAGTATTTCCACATTGAAAAATCTGGGTTTAGGAGGTATTGTTGGTGATGTGGAACAAAGAATGCCTCAATGGGCCAAACAGTTCCCAGCTATATTGAAAAAATGCTGCAAATCATGGGTCATTTCTAATAGATGCGCAGAGATAGGATGTGTTTTCAGAGAGTCAGAAAGCCAAATGCTTGCTTGTATGAAGGGATAAAATTAAAGCCTCCACCACTGCAAAAGAGATCAGAGGCACTCAGGAGAAATTGGTGATTTATTGTTTAACAAAACTTATGTTAATGGATGTCACATTGATTTTAAACTTGGTACAGGCACAAAAGTCACTGTCTTGTCAGACTAAATGCCAAGGCTGAAGTGTGATTTATGGTGTGTGTCATACCATATATATCGTATATAAAATTATAATTGATTTTAGACTTCGGACTTTGAACCAATGGCACTTGTGGATGAGGGGGTTTATGATTACCTTCTCCGTATTTGTGGAGACATTATCTTGGATGAAAGAGAAAGAATCTCAAGACTAAAAATGGGAATTTGTTTGCATTGTGAGTGTTTTTGCTTCAGAAGAAATAAGATTTTCTTTTTGTTTGCTTTGCTTGGGGAAACACTCGTAGCTTGGAAAGTTTTTAAGTTTCAGCTTGCAGAAGTCCTGCTGAAGTTAGATGTAGAAACAGTTCTTCCTGGAGAAAGGAGTTAGTTCAGAACAGTTAAGAAATAGGTTATCTCACTGTATGAGTTTCAGTTTAATCGCTCACTGGACAAACCTCTTTTTTGTATAAATTTAGGTTCAGATTTTCCAGTCAGTCACTGAATCACATCATTAGTGTACATCTGACATGCACATTGCCTGCTCAGGCATACTTAAAGCTTCTGTGTGATGTTTTGACAATTCCATATTGGAACTGGATTCAAAATAACAGGGTCACTTCCAACAATTGATATGTATTAAGGTCCCTGTATTTAGTATGGCTGGTCAGAAAGCTGACAATATTGGGTGCAAAAGCAAGGTGGAAGTCAATGACTATTTTTAGTACAGCTGTCGTATCTGAAGTTCAGCTCAGGGTCAAATTCAACACCAATTTGGTGAAGTTTTGAGATCGCAGCAGAACGTCATCGATGGCGAGCGTGCAGAATCTGTGCTAAGGCTGAAGGCAAAGGTTGTTCACATTCTCAATGTTTAACAGAAAGAAATTGCAGCTTATTTTAATAAATTGTCAGTTTTGGTTATTTGTAGAATCAAGTGAATGTGACTTCTGACAATGCACATTGACAAAGGCATCCAGGGACAAGCAATAATTGCTGGCTCAGATCGTGATTCCCACATCCCACGAGTGAATGTTGGACTCAGTCTGACACCACACAATAATATGATGGTGGCTCAGCGGTTAGCACTGCTGCCTCACAGTGCCGGGGGCTGGGGCTCAATTCCAACCTTGGGGGACTGCCTGCCTGGAGTTTGCATGCTCTACCCACGTCTGCATGGGTTTCTTCCAGGTGCTCCGGTTTCCTCCAACGGTCCAAAGAGGAGTAGGTTAGGTGGACTGGCTGTGGTAAATTGTCTGTAGTGTCCAGGGAATGTCGAGGCTAGGTGGATTAGCAAATGTTAAGTGTGGGCTTATGGAGAAAGGGTAGGGGGCTGAGTCTGGTTGGGATGCTTTTCAGAGGGTCGGTGTAGATTTATTGGGCCAAATGGCCTCATTTCACACTGTAGGATTTCAATGAAATCTCCAAAGTTGACAAACCAACACACCAGCGAGAGAGTTTCTGTCCAGCTCATGCTCACCATCTTAAGGGCAATTAGAGAATTACAACAAATGCTTGCCTACCAAACAACATGCACATACTGAAACAGATAAAAGAATGCTGAACAGTGAAATGCCCAGTAACTGCACGGTGATTGTCTGAAAGACCATTCTCATAGCTACTGTGAAACATTTATTAAGGAGTAGTTCAGTGTGAGTTTTTATCTCATCGTAGCAATACCTCCAAGAGCCAGGTAAGATTCACATAACTAATTCTTTAGTTTTTTTGTAATTTGTATAAAATCTAAGCAAGTGGAAGATGAAGCATCTCTCCACTATCAGAGTTTGGTTTGTAATAAGATGTGAAATTGTGACTCCCTAATGAGATTTCAAGCAAATATAACAGTGCCACTCGATATGGCTTCTAAGAGTGGCAGGATCATGGGTAGGACAATTCTCAAACTTTTTTAGTTGCACGGAGAGCTAATATTTCTGGTACAAATCTCAGGGACACAATTGGGATTCCAATCTTCCTGTATTATCTGGGGATCTCCTGAAATGTCTCAAAACGTCTTCAGTATTTCCACTAGCATTTCCTTTGCCTTTTGTTTTGGGGAATCTTTACCATCTGTTCCACTCGTACCTCCTCCCTATTTCCTGCTTTGTACAGCTCAGGTTCACATTCGGCAGTGCGATTGGAAATTTATCCATGAGGTCTGATTGCCAAGTCAAACTGAACGTGTTCCTGAAATCTTTGTCTCATGAATTCTCACCTCTGACAATCTACACTCCCTCCCGTGGCAGCTAAACCATCCAAATTCAAGGCAAACTTCTACCTAAGGTAAAGTAGAATATGAAAAGAAATCTTCACAATGATTACTGACTTCTCTAGTGTCTAGTTTTCTTAAAAGTAATAAACAGAATAGGTGAAAGGAAAGGAAACAAATACATTTTTACTTATTCACGAATGCTTGAAGCAGGCTCTTGGTGATGAACCTTCAATTTCTGGAGATTCCAGAACAGTGCAGAGTTTGCAACCCATATCATCAGGGAATATTTTAACTATGGGGGTGTGCGGTGGATGCCAGGGCATTGAGTAAATTTAAGGAGCAGACAGACACACATTTAATTAGTAATGGGTTGAAGGGGTATGGAGAGCAAGCACAAAAGTGGAAATGAGTCTAAAGTGAGATCAATCTCAATTGCATGGAATGTCAAAGGAGGCTTGAGGGGCTGTATTGCATACTCGTAGTTCTTCTGACTTTTAAAACTGCTTTTGTTCTTGAAGATAACTTTCCATTCTCATTTACAGAATAGGAAACAGTTCAACAAACTATTCAAACAGTGGAAATATCACTGTCAGAGCAAGCCCAAATGCAGCTCCTCTTCAGGCAAGCCCAGTGTAAGTGCATTTTATACATTTAGTTCCAATGCAGTATTATTCTTTGCAATTAACCGAGTGACAAATTTTAAGTCAAGCTTTGTCATCTGTTGTATTTTCACTGTCCCCTTGTCCAGGTTTAATCCTTCAATGAATGAATATATGGATGGCAAGAAAAGATGGCTTATTGACTGTTTGCAAGTCAAATGACAATGATTTATTATTTGTGGTTTTGCATAGAGATTAGATGTAGGGTCCCTTTATCCAGTTGCTAAATTCCATCCTACAATTTAAGATCTGATGTTCAGCAGAAAATTAAATTTCTATGTTGAGGAAAAAATATTTCCAATTTGTTAATGGTGCAACAATGTGTTTCATAACAATGGCAATGATGAGAATTGCATCCTGTGCAAAGCGCATGGGGAGGCATGTGTTTTTATTGTAACACTGAGAAAAAGTAGATTTTGAACTCTGCAATGGAAAGAAATTATCCACAATGCAGCCCAGAGAAGTTACATACATTTAAGAATCCTAAACATGGGCTAGCTAACTTGTACTAGATAGATTTAAGGTTCAACTTCTCCTCTGTGGTTGAGCTTAACTCAAGGAGAAATATGAAATAGACATTTGGTTGTGCAGAGCTTGAATACTGCTGAAAAAGGACACAAAGTCAAAGTAGTTCATCTCGAAATCATTAGAATAGCTCAAGAACATCAATCAAGCAGGAAAAAAACATTTCTTTGAACATATTCCTGGAGATTCCAATCACATGATTGTGGCCTTCAAATGCCCATCCTCACTGTCCTAACATTAATGCCCGTGCTGGTCCAAAATTCACAACATACAAAAGGTTAGCAACTCTATAGTCAGCAAGCTATCCTTCCCAATTTAATTTGTTTTTGTCTCTAACAGTTAATTTGTGCTCTCTTTTGCAGCAAACAAACTGTTGACAAGACTGTATCATTATTGACATAAATGTAGGCAAAGAAAATCTAGCTTACTGACCCAGGTATGTATGTTCTCCAACTTGCTGCATTCTTATAGTAAGAAGCACACACATAGAAGAAATGACCAGATCAATTTGGTACAGAGTCCTTCAGACCTGCAAGGTCTTAAGCTTGATTCCCTGCTTGGACTCATTTCATTAATCTCAGCCAGAGCAGCGATCTGTATGTGGGCCAATGGATTTCAGCGTTCCTACTTGAAGGAGGAGTTGAACTGTCGGGAATTCTGGAAGCTAAACAATCTCAGGATCAGTTCTGATACTACCCATGTTAAAATCAAACATGATTAATGTCAGGGATGACAAAATAATATCACGTAAGCTCAAACACTTCCTGCCATTTGAGGAAATTTAGCCCCAGATACCCGTGGGAGCATTTTTGGGTACAAAAAGAGTCCAGACTTTTGCTAAAGCAGAGCTTCTGTCACTCCATGAACACGAACCTGACCAATCTCAATTCTTAGGATTGGAGATATGTCATTGAATTTGTTTGATGCTTATCCCATTCCTACAAATTCAGAATAGAAGTCACATACAACAGTAGTCAGGTGCCCTGAGGAAAATAAACACTTGCAGCTTTTGGTTAAGATCTTCAATTTCTGTACCAGAATCAATACCTTTGAGATGAACTGTAGTGCTAAGAGCCAGACATTTTACAATTTGCAAATCTACTTTGATGGCCTGTACTTCAGGCATCTCAACCGCCCAGTACTCAGGATGACAAAAGCAGAATTGACTTCATTTCGACAGTCCATGTACCCAACTCAAAATGAATCGTGTCTCAAGTTCCTCTCTGGCCTGTTACAAGAACAGCGACATTACTCAACAGAATTCCTTTGTATTTTATTGTTGAGTTCCCTGATTAAAACAATATAAGATGAATCAATAAATGTCTTTTTCTGTCACAGACTTTTTTTTATTGTGACAGGTAAATTAATATGAATGCTGGAGAATGTTGAAAAAGACAAGGAATATTTCCTTCATGGAAGGACCAGAGAAGGTTGTGCAGGGACTTTCAGTTACCAGTGGGGTGACAAGCAACTGCTGGTACTCTTCTACAAAACCATCCACCTACTGTGATTCAGACCCTCCAGTGCGTGTTTTGGGTATTCAGGATAACAAAATAACACTGGATGAGAGCCTGTATAAAACAAAACCCCAGGGGATGGCATGCTCACGCATTACGTGCAAGAAAACAATCACAGAAATAGAGCATCTGCAGATCCTGAAGGGTAACAATCACCAAGTCACTGCTATGTTAGAGCATACTACTTCATCAAAAATTAGAAGAGAAGCCACAAATAAGCACTATTGTTATTTTTGTGTAGAGTCATTTAAAACATTCTAACAGTCAGTGCACTGTCTCATTAATTCAGACTCTCAATAAACGGCAGCATGGTGGCTCAGTGGTTAGCACTGCTGGCTCACAGTGCAAGGGGCCGGTCAATTCCAGCCTTGGGTGACTGTCTGTGTGGAGTTTGCACATTCTCCCCGTGTCTGCGTGGGTTTCCTCCGGGTGCTCTGGTTTCCTCCCACAGTCCAAAGATGTGCCATGCTAAATTGCCCATAGTGTTGAGGGATGCCTAGATTAGGTGGGTTTGGGGAATGGGTGTGGGTGGGACGCTCTGAGGGTCGCTGTGGACTTGTTGGGCCAAAGGGCCTGTTTTCACACTGTAGGGATTCTATAGATTAGAAGGTCTTAATTGATTAAAAATGATCAGTTAAAAATGTGCGTGCATGCGTATCTTGTAAGTTTCAGTGCCATCTCATAATCCTGTGCAAAAATCTCTGCTAGGCCAAGCAGCATCAGAGGAGCAGGAATGCTGACGTTTCGGGCCTAGACCCTTCTTCCGAAATGGAAGAGAGGAAGGGAGTTCTGAAATAAATAGGGAGAGAAGGGGAGGTGGATAGAAGATGGATAGAGGAGAAGATAGGTGGAGAGGAGACAGACAGGTCAAAGAGGCGGGGATGGAGCCAGTAAAGGTGAGCGTAGGTGGGGAGGTAGGGAGGAGATAGGTCAGTCCAGGGAGGACAGCCAGGTCAAGGGGGCAGGATGAGGCTAGTAGTTAGGAGATGGGGGTGAGGCTTGAGGTGGGAGGAGGGGATAGGTGGGAGGAAGGACAGGTTAGGGAGGTGGGGACAAGCTGGGCTGGTTTTGGGATGCAGTAGGGGGAGGGGAGATTTTGAAGCTTGTGAAGTCCACATTGATACCATTGGGCTGCAGGGGTCCCAAGCAGAATATGAGGTGCTGTTCCTGCAACCTTCGCGTGGCATCGTTGTGGCACTGCAGGAGGCCCAGGATGGACATCTCTTCTGAGGAATGAGAGGAAGACTTGAAATGGTTCGCGACTGGGAGGTGCAGTTGTTTAGTGCAAAGCGGTCCCCAAGCCTCTGCTTGGTTTCCCCGACGTAGAGGAGGCCACAACGGGAACAGCGGATACAGTATACCACATTAGCATATGTGCAGGTGAACCTCTGCTTGACGTGGAAAGTCTTCTTGGGACCTGGGATGGAGGTGAGGTGTAGCACTTCCTGCGGTTGCAGGGAAAAGTGCCAGGTGTGGTGGGGCTGGAGGGGAGTGTGGAGCAGACAAGGGAGTCACGGAGAGAGTGGTCCCTCCAGAAAGCAGATAAGGGTGGGGAGGGAAAAATGTCTTTGGTGGTGGGGTCGGATTGCAGATGGCGGAAGTGTCGGAGGATGATGCGTTGGATCCAGAGGATGGTGGGGTGGTACATGAGGACGAGGGGGATTCTGTTTTGGTTGTTATTGCGGGGACGGGGCGTGAGGGATGAGTTGCAGGAAATGCGGGAGACATGGTTGAGAGTGTTCTCGACCACTGAGGGGGGGAAATTGCGGTCCTTGAAAAACAAGGACATCCGAGATGTTCTGGAGTGGAATGCCTCATCCTGGGAGCAGATGCGGCGGAGGCAAAGGCGTTGGGAATAGGGGATGGCATTTTGCAGGAAAGTGGGTGGGAGGAGGTGTATTCAATGTAGCTGTGGGAGTCGGTGGGCTTGAAATGGATATCAGTTTCCAGGTGGTTGCCAGAGATGGAAACAGAGAGGTCCAGAAAGGAGAGAGAGGTGTCAGAGATGGTCCAGTTGAACTTAAGGTTGGGGTGGAAGGTGTTGGTGAAGTGGATGAACTATTCGAGCTCCTCGTGGGAGCATGAGGCGGCGCCGATAGTCATCAATGTAACGGAGGAAGAGGTGGGGTTTAGGGCCAGTGTAGCTACGGAAGAGGGATTGTTCCACATAACCTACAAAGAGGCAGGCATAGCTTGGGCCCATGCGGGTACCCATGGCCACACCCTTTGATTGTAGGAAGTGTCATCTCAGTCCAGCGTGGTGATCTCTTAGCCTGGCATGATGGCCCAGTGTGGTGGTTTCTCAGCCTGGCATGATGGCCTGGCGTGGTGGTCTCTTAGCCTGGCGAGCCCTCAAGGTGATCTCAGATCAGTCTCCTAGCCTCGTGAGCCTCGAGGTGAGACCTGTTGCCGACTGGAGGCTAGATGCCGGCGTGGACGGAGTTGAAAGAAATGTTATTCTGCACTTTTTATTTCTCTTTATCTAATTTATTCATATGATCTGTAATGATGTACTTTTCATTTCTTTATTTTTCTAATATTTCTTCCCGTCGAAAACTTGTACTTAAGAGTCTCTACTTAGGTAGCCTTGAACCTAAAATGGCGCCATAAATGGCGACTTGTAGACTTTTCACTGTACTTATTTGCATACGTGACAATAAAGTTAATTCAATTCTGTACATTAAACCAAGCAATGTAATTGCACCCTTCTTATTCCTTAGCTGTAGCCAAACCATTCTTTCCTTGAACTCTCTGCAACATTCTCTTTATTAAATACAATGCTCTCCTGCACCAAAAATGCCACCCTTCTCCTTTTTATTCCCTTCCTACTTTTTCTGACCACCTTATAACCAGGAATAACTCAAACCCAAATCTGCCCTTCCTTAAGCCAGATCTCCGTCATCATCATATTATACATACACAAGGCAACTTGTGCCTGTAACTCCCCAATCTGACTAATTATACTGCATGCATTCGTATACATGCAGTGCAACCCCAATTTAGATTTCATTGCTTTATCGCTTATTCCAACTCTATCTGTTAGCTTACTACAGGGATGTGCACTTACTTCGACCCCACATAAATCAAAATTCCTCTTTGAAAGCCTGACCCATTTTCCTTAGCAAGGTGCAACTTACAAAGGCAATCTCAAAATTGACATAGAGGGATAACATGGTTAGTTGACAAGCAATCTTTGCTACCACGCTAATATCTTCTTTTTAAAACAATTCACACATTTTGACAACTTCGAGGTTTAATGTTTTGAATAAACAAGAACAAAAAATACAGAAATTAATAAAAACCAATCCTATCCAGACTGATGCATACCCTGCAGTTTGAGGAAGCATGTGCTTTGGTTATCACTGTTGAACATCAGTGCTAACTGTGGCAAAAAAGTCTAACTTTCAAGAACCTGAAACCAAGTAATGGACATTGTGTTTTTCCTTTATGAAGTGCCCTCAAAAAAATTCAAGGTGAATGTGAGAGTGTAGAATGAAATACTAACACCAAAAATGAGACTAGCAAAAAAAACCTGGGATTACAGAGGGTGCTTGATTCTGGGTATAATGTTACAGTTAAAGTTGACCCAAGCAAGAAAATTTTGTGGAGTAAACTAAAAGGTTCACAAAGAAAATGGATGTCGCCAAGTTTACACCTAGCAACAATTGATTTTTGCAATTTAAATCGTGCCATAACTTTGCCTACAAATGTTCAATGAGCTAGCCTCACTGTGCAACTATTTTTAGCTGGCTGCCACTACAAACAAAAAACCATTCGACTTACTGAACCAGGTTTCCAGTCTTCTAGGGATACAGCAATAATCAAAACAAAGCGTCAGTGAAAACTATTGTCAAATCTAACAGATGAATACACATCACCAGTGTTTTAGAATATATTTTCTATTGCTTGTATTCTGATTAAGAGCAGTTCTACAAGTTTCTACAAATAAAAACAAGTTTCAGGCTTTTGCCATTCTCATTTTTGTTTGAAATTGATAATCAGTAGTACACACAGACATCATAAAAATTTTATAATACAATCTATTATCATACAATGAACAATGCATACTAAATAAACATATAGATAAACCACATGGTCCACCACCATCTTGGATGGGCAATATCAACAACCTGTTCTGTCAAAATTTACCTGGGCCCAGAGATGTCAACATAGTTCCATCTGCATCTCCCAGCATTTTGTGCACCTAGGTACTTTCTCATATTCCTTCCTGGCTCCCACACTTCTGTTGAGTTAATCTAAACACTCCCCAACATCACTAGCAATACACCCACAATTTATGTAGTCCCAGCTCTGTTCAGGTGCCACTTCCTGTATAGCCAGTCCCAGGAATCCAAAGACCTCTCTCTCTTGCTTCGTATTTCCAGCCACACAATTGTTTGAACTATCTTCCTATTTCTGTACTCACATGCATGTGATACTGACAGTAATCTGGAGATTACAACTTTGGACATCTTGCTTTCTAACTAGCTCCCTAAATCCTGACTGCAGGACCACACTCCCCTTCCTATCCATGCCATTAATACAAAAGTGGGCCATTCTTAACCCTAGCATAAGAGAGGCAACAAACCGTCCTGGAATCATACTGACAGCTGCAAAAATATTGGTCTGCTTGCCAATCAGTACTGCCCTTCTTTCTCCACTCCTATACACTTTAGGCCCCCATAATGTCACAGGATTTGCCCTTGTTGTGCTCCTCCAATGATCCATCGCCCTCAATAATATCCGGAACCAGAAACAGTTGGTGAGCAGGATCCCTGTGGTCCCACATATTACCTGACATTTTTGCTTATATTATGTGGGGGTCACTCATTCCCTGTTTTCTCCTTATGGTGTTTGCACAGCATACGTTACTAAAGTTTTGTATCTAAGGATCACTTTTAAAGCATTTGCAAAATGGTGCTACCTGATGCAAAGGCATAACATAACCAAACATTGGCATGCTTGAATTGGCAACCTATGCCTGATGGTAATGAAGGCAATCAAGCTAATCCCACTGTTACACCATAAAGCAATGGCCACAATGTGTGAACATTTGTAAATATGAAATAGGGTAGATGAAAATTTGACTAATTCCATAGCAAAATGTTGTATGTTTCTTGGATACTCTTAGATGTCATCACATCATACTTCAAGGATATCCTCAGTGAAAACTGCACAGATCTTAAGGGTATCCATAAGGACATGACAGGCCAGTTCAAACAACAGGCATCGGCCATAAACAAACATCTAAACAGATGCACCAAGAGTGAAATATGGTTAAGTGGCTCTAGTCAGAAGCAGATTTATTTACACTATTCAGCAACTGGAAGCAACCAGACCCTTTTCTAATTATCCAATGGATCAAAAAAAAAATCTGATGTCTGAGCTTCATTCTGGATCCTGCATGAACAGGATTTTCTTTCATAGATACCTCACATAGTTCAGAAGATAAAAAATCTCTAGGATAATGACATTGCTGACATGGATGAAGACAATGTGTGAGATAATGGCATGTATAGGGATGAGAAGGCTGACAATGCAGTAGAGATGCATAAACTATTTGAGGACATCAATTCAGACAATATTTTAAAGATTTCTATGCATGTAAATAAATAGAAATGTAAAAAGAAAATCAAGACATACCGGTAGGTACTTAATTTCTGTTCAAAATTGAAGCCTCTAAATCCAGCTGCAAATAAATCTTTTATTTGTTACTATGTATAATATGAACATGAACTTCCAGGTATATGCTTAGGGAAAAGATATGTTCTCTATTCAGAAAATTACGACACTATTTTTTTGTGCTGTTGCATAATAATATTTAATGATTCAGTAGGGAGGAGGCAAAATTCAACACAGAAAATTTCCAAGCTTGACTACATCATCTGACATAAACATATGATGGTAGTAAACAAGAGAAAAAGCTGGAAAGTGAGTCAGAGTGTCATGATCACTTCTACATGACCAGTTTATGACCTTCATTGCTAAAGGCTTAAGGTAAGATGGCTATCCTCAGTGACATATTTTGCTGTTGTTCACATCAACTACTCAACAAGAATTTGGACATACACAAAGCACCTGCTTAAAAAAATGAACTTTGAAAAAAGTCCATACATGATTGATTAAAAATCCATCAGATATCTCTCTGGAAAAGTAAACAGTATATCAGTACTCTCAAACCTTGCCAGTTGCTCTCCCCTCCTATCTGTTTTATTCAGTCTTATGATGGGGCTCAGCTCTCTTAATCTGCCAGCTTTGATGAGGGTTTGCGAATCAAAACTGTAACATTTTACTTCACTTTGCTACGCATACCTTTTTATTTCATTAGATTTGGTCAAAATACCCTACCAAGCGTTTCATTCTATAAAATGAAAGAATAAAATATTGAAAAAATAAATTAATGCTCTTGTTAACATTTTTAATTCAGAATGGTACTGTTTCCAAAGTGATCTTCTGCTTTGATGACCAACAATCAAAGTGGAGTGCAAGGACACAAATTCCCTTGTAAAGTTTGACAATTTGCAAGTACTGAGCTTTGCTGCATTTGTTAATGCTTTTCAACAATTTTAATCAGTTTTGTATATATGCCTACCAGAGCCCACAAACAATTGGAAATGACCCAGGAAATGTGAACCAGCATCATGGGCATTTGGGAATAAGAATAAATGTCCTGTGCAAAACACCAAGTTGCAGGATTCCTGGTAAAACAACATTCATTTATGTCATACTGATTGTCTATGACAGACTAACCCATTGTGTTTCTCATAAGTGTTTTACTCCTCTTCTTAAAATATTGTTCAACAATATCATCAAAAGATTTCAGACTGGCATAACACCAACTCTGCACTGAAGTCACACAGTTTTCACCAGTAAAACTTTGTTCACTTTTGCACGTTTTGCCAGCATATGAAATGGAAGCAGACACAGTTTGTTCAAATTTATGTTGCTGTTGCTGTCCATTCTCTTGTCCCACAGAAGTATTTGATGAAGACTGCCCATTTGCTGTCAATGATGTGCTTGCATTCAGCAGTGATAGCCTATGGGACTGCTGAAAGGTAGGACTGCTGCTTCTAGTTGGTTGCTTTGCTAAATAGTGATGTGCAGATTTCCCATCTTGGCACCAGTTCAGCAATGAAGTCTGTCTTGTCCTCACTGCCACCCTAAATAAAGGTACATTGGATTTCTGTTCTTTGAACAAACGAACTCTTATTTTTTGTTTTAATGGTACCTGTGTTTTGTTAATGTTTTCTTCACACAATTTTTCCTTGATATTAGTACTCTGCCCTACCACACTCAGATTGCTGTCTTCAGTCCAGTTTTGCCAAACATGTTTTGATGGGACCAGTATTTTGTCATTATTTTGGAATGCCACCTTATTGCTCTCAGAACTTGGTCTTTCTGTACACAAAGAGTCAATACCACTGTCGTCGTGCTCCACTTTCTCTGGTGACTCAAAAACGACACCCTTTGGAATAACCAGAGATCTTAGTCTTGTATGCGAGTGAAGAAGCATTTTATTGCATTTTGCCTTCTTTTGCATAAATTCTTTTACTGTTACTGTTTCTGGAACGTGGATTTGCTTTAAATCATCAACTGGACTGAGGTATTGACAGAAGTATGCTTCACATGCCTTAGTTTTCACCACAGGGATAATTGTACAAGGTTTCAGTCTAGCCACAAACTCTTGCAATTCTTGAAACGAGGAGTGATCTGAATAGGGAACGACATGTACATCCCTGTGCCAGACTCTTATTTTTCGGCTTGTGGGGATAATAGCAATCGTAGGGCACATCTGATTCCATTTGACCATATTGAAGCGGTTAATTTCATTCTGGTCTACTACATGGATTCTTCCTGCCCCCACCTCTGAAGTGAAGACATCGCACAGTCCCAAAAGTTGAAACATCTGAAGTCTCCGAGGACTCACGACAATCCAAGTTTTAAATGTCATAGCCAGTTCTATTAATAATGATTCTTTACCCAAGTTATACAGACCTGTAATTACAGGTAGAATCATTGTTCAAATACAATTTGCTCAAACAGGTAAAAATGAAGATAAAGAAAAGGGGAAAGAAGGCAAAAAGGAAAAAACATCTATCTAGGTTCTTTTATATTCACAATATGATCTAATAAACATCACAACTAATTAAGTGCCTTTTAAGTATAGGTAACTATTGGAATGCAAGAAACATGGCAGTCACAAACAGCAAAGAAATGATGCTGAGATAAAAATTAAAAGTGCTGGAGAAACTCAGCAAGTCTGGCAGCATCTGTGGAGAGAAAAACAGTTAATGTTCTGAGTCTAGTGACCCTTCGAAGGATCATTAAACTCAAAATATTAATGCTTTTCTCCCCACAGATGTTGCCAGACCTGCTGAGGCACTTTCTGTTTTTGTTTCAGATTACCAGCATCTGCAGTTCTTTATTTTCTTTTTATAATGTTGAGGTAATTTGTTTTTGGTAGCATTTGGTCATTATTGGCCAGGGCACAGTGCCCACAGTACATCACATTTTAGATACAAAGACAGACAGAAAGACAGATAAAACTTCATAATGAACAGTATTTCTGTGTGTTCCTTTCCTAAGGTTTCAGATTAGATGATACATTCAAGGCTTGAATCCATTATCTACTGACTTAGAGGCAAGATTACTATCATTGAAGAAAATAAAAAGGTCTTTCCACAATGTCCAATCAAGCAGAATATTTCCTACAATCACAGATATAATTTTCCCATTTTCCACAAATGTTTCTATTACACGCGTTGAAATGAATTGCAAATTTGGAGTCAATGTAAATGTGTGCAAGTCATTTAATATGCCAAAACTAATTGAGAGCATGGTGAATAAAGTATCCAGTATCCTAGGCCCTGTTATTGGGTGCATAGAGTATAAGAGCAAGGAGGTTATATTAAGCTTGTATAATACATTGGTTTGGCCTTAACTGGGATATTAAGCTCAGTGCTTAGTGTCAGATTTCAGGAAAGATGGCAAAGCATTAAAGAGAGACTCCAGAAAAGAATCATGGGAATGTTCCAGAAATAAGGAACTTCAGTTGTGTGGTCAGATTTCAATGGTCAGAAACCAATCTTTGTTGCAGACAGGGCTGCTTGTATCTTTTAAAACTATGTAAGTTATTCTCCCTTTATCTCCCCTCAGCTGAAGACAGTCAGTCATGCCAGGAATAACTCCACAACTGGTCTCAGTGACCTCACTGACAATGTTGTCAGCTGTGGACTGCTCGCAGACAATGCCTGAGCATACAAGCTTAAATTAAAATCAATACTGCAGCCTCAGCCAGCACATGTAAGCTAAACTAGCAGTATGAAGGTTCAAAGCTTATCTGAATATGGTAAAAGTACATGACAAAAATGAGAATCTCTCCCTTCATGTATGCATTCTGTGTCTATCCTATTAGCACAGATATTCAAACAAAGTAGGCACCACCCCTCCTCCTGGACACCACCCCAAGGCCTGCTACCCTCCCTCGACCTCTTGATCTCCAACTGCCGTCGAGACATCAATCGCCTCAACCTCTCCACTCCTCTCACCCACTCCAACCTGTCCCCTGCAGAACGTGCAGCCCTCCGCTCCAATCCCAACCTCACCATAAAACCCACGGACAAGGGAAGCGCAGTTGCAGTATGGCGCACTGACTTCTACATCGCCGAGGTCAGATGCCAACTCTCCGACACCTCCTCCTACCGCCCCCTTGATCATGACCCCACCGCCGACCACCAAACCATCATCTCCCAAACCATCCACAACCTCATCACCTCAGGTGATCTCCCACCCACGGCCTCCAACCTCATCGTTCCCCAACCCCGCACCGCCCGCTTCTATCTCCTTCCCAAAATCCACAAACCTGAATGCCCTGGTCGACCCACTGTCTCCGCTTGCTCCTGCCCCACCGAACTTATCTCCAACTATCTGGACTCCATTTTCTCCCCCTTGGTCCAGGGACTCCCTACCTACGTCCGTGACACCACCCACGCCCTCCACCTCCTCCAGAACTTCCAATTCCCCGGTCCCCAACACCTCATCTTTACCATGGACGTCCAGTCCCTATAAACCTGCATTCCCCATACAGATGGCCTAAAGGCCCTCCGCTTCTTCCTGTCCCGCAGGCCCGACCAGTCCCCCTCCACTGACACCCTCATCCGCTTAGCCGAACTCGTCCTCACCCTCAACAACTTCTCTTTCAATTCCTCCCACTTCCTACAGACAAAGGGGGTGGCCCATGTGTACCCGCATGGGCCCAAGTTACGCCTGCCTCTTTGTAGGTTACGTGGAACAATCCCCCTTCCGTACCTACACTGGCCCTAAACCCCATCTCTTCCTCCGTTACATTGATGCCTGTATCGGCGCCACCTCCTGCTCCCACGAGGAGCTCGAACAGTTTATCCACTCCACCAACACCTTCCACCCCATTAAGTTCAACTGGACCATCTCTAATACCTCTCTCTCCTTCCTGGGCCTCTCTGTCTCCATCTCGGGCAACCACCTAGAAACCGATATTCATTTCAAGCCCACCGACTCCCACAGCTACCTTCCTGCAAAAATGCCATCCCCTATACCCAATTCCTTCGCTTCCGCCGCATCTGCTCCCAGGATGAGGCATTCCACTCCCATACATCTCAGATGTCCTCGTTTTTCAAGGACTGCAACATCCCCCCCTCAGTGGTCGAGAACGCCCTCCACCGTGTCTCCCGCATTTCCCGCAACTCATCCCTCACACCCCGTCCCTGCAATAACGACAAAAAAAGAATCCCCCTCGTCCTCACATACCACCCCACCAACCTCCGGATCCAACGCATCATCCTCCGACACTTCCGCCATCTGCAATCCGACACCACCACCAAAGACATTTTTCCCTCCCCATCCTTATCTGCTTTCCGGAGGGACCACTCTCTCCGTGACTCCCTTGTCCGCTCCACACTCCCCTCCAGCCCCACCACACCCGGCACTTTTCCCTGCAACCGCAGGAAGTGCTACACCTGCCCCCATACCTCCTCCCTCACCCCCATCCCAGGCCCCAAGAAGACTTTCCACATCAAGCAGATGTTCACCTGCACATCGGCTAATGTGGTATACTGCATCCGCTGTACCCGTTGTGGCCTCCTCTACATCGGGGAAACCAAGCGGAGGCTTGGGGACCGCTTGGCAGAACACCTACGCTCGGTCCGCAATAAACAACTGCACCTCCCAGTCGCGAACCATTTCAACTCCCCCTCCCATTCCGCAGACGACATGTCCATCCTGGGCCTCCTGCAGTGCCACAACGATGCCACCAGAAGGTTGCAGGAACAGCAACTCATATTCCGCTTGGGAACCCTGTAGCCCAATGGTATCAATGTGGATTTCACAAGCTTCAAAATCTCCCCTCCCACTACCGCACCCCAAAACCAGCCCAGCTCGTCCCCGCCTCCCTAACCTGTTCTTCCTCCCACCTATCCCCTCTTCCCACCTAAAGCCGCACCCCCATATCCTACCTACTAACCTCATCCCGCCCCCTTGACCTGTCCGTCCTCCCTGGACTGACCTATCTCCTCCCTACCTACGCTCACCTTTACTGGCTCCATCCCCGCCTCTTTGACCTGTCTGTTTCCTCTCCACCTATCTTCTCCTCTATCCATCTTCTATCCGTCTCCCCCTCTCTCCCTATTTATTTCAGAACCCCCTCCCCCTCCCCCATTTCTGATGAAGGGTCTAGGCCCAAAACGTCAGCCTTCCTGCTCCTATGATGCTGCTTGGCCTGCTGTGTTCATCCAGCTCTACACCCTGTTATCTCACCTGCCATAAGCCATCATGTTAGATCATATTTTTATATTTCACTGACTCAACAATGACTCCGGGAAAGGGGCTAAGTTCATTAAATCAAGGCAAGTAGCAGGAAAGTCAAGATTTGCCACATTCTTACCAATGACCACATTGTGTTCTGGGTGAGCGCTGATTATTGCCTTAATCTCATCAGTAGCTTCTTCACGGGAAGGCACCATGGACTCAGGGTCACAGTTGGTATTGTCTAGATATAGGAGATCTATCCTTCTTTCTGTGTTCAGTGGTGGATAGGTAAACATCATAGGTGTGTAACGGAAATCCGCTATATTAAAAAAACAAAGCAAAATCTCTAATGTACTTTGAATGATTTTCAGCATCCCTTAGCTTTTCTCTCTTACACAAATCTGAGCGTCATAGAGTTGTACAGCACGGAAACAGATCTTTTGGTCCATCTTGTCCATGCTGACCAGATATCCTAAATTAATCTAGTCCCATTTCGCCAGCATTTGATCCATATTCCTTTAAATCCTTCCTATTCATTTACCCATCCAGATGCCTTTTAAATGTTATTCATGTACCAGCCACCACCACTTCCTCTGGCACCTCATTCCACACATGCACCACCCTTGTATGAAACATTGCCCCTTAGGTCACTCTAAATCTTTCCCCTCTCACGTTAAACCTATGCCTTCCAGTTTTGGACTCCCCTACTCTGGGGAAAAATCCTTGGCTATTCACCCTATCCACATTCCTCATGATTTTATAAACCTCTACAAGGTCACCGCCAGCTTCTAACATTATAGAAGCCGTGGTTCTCCTTGTCCATGTGGATTGAGATTAGTGAGTACAAGGAGAACCACGACTTCGACTGGGACAACATCAAGATCCTGGGACAGGCTAGGCAGAGACAAGCACGAGAATTCCTGGAAGCATGGCACTCCACGAAGCATGCTATTAATAAACACATTGAACTCGACCCCATATACATTCCACTACGGAGGAAACCCGGAAGTGAGGCAATCCATCACAACGGACCCCAGAGTTTAAAAACCAGGCGGGAAAACACACCGACACTTCATCACAGGCTGCACTGAGGATGTTACCAAGCACGGTAATGAAACGTCTGCGGAACAACAAATCAGCTCGGTGAGCCAACCAACCTCAACATGGTATGGAAAAGCCAGTGAACTGTAGACCAGTGAGCCTGACATCGATGGTGGGCAAGTTGTTGAGATGGAATCCTGAGGGACAGGATTTACATGTATTTAGAAAGGCAAAGATAGATTAGGGATGGTCAAGATAGTTTTGTGCATGGAAAATCATGTCTCACGAAGTTGATTGAGTTTTTTGAAGAAATAACAAAGAAGGTTGATGAGGGCAGAGCGGTGGACATGATGTATATGAATTTCAGTAAGGCATTCGGCAAGGTTCCTCATGGTAGACTGGTTAGCAAGGTTAGATCACACAGAATACAGGGAGAACTAGCTATTTGGATATAGAACTAGCTCAAAGGTGGAAGACAGAGGGTGGGAGTGGAGGGTTGCTTTTCAGACTGGAGGCCTGTGACCAGCAGTGCGCTACAAGGATTAGTGCTGGGTCCACTGCTTTTTGTCATTTATACAAATAATTTGGATGTGAACATAGGAGATATGGTTAGTAAGTTTGCAGATGACACCAAAATTGTTGGTGTAGCAGACAGCGTAGAAGATTACTTCAGAGTACAATGGGATCTTGATCAGATGAGCTAATAGCCCAAGGAGTGGCAGATGGAGTTTAATTTTGATAAATGTGAGGTGCTGCATTTTTGAAAGGCAAATCAGGGCAGGACTTATACACTTAATGGTAAGGTCCTGGGAGTGTTGCTGAACAAAGAGACCTTGGCGTGAAGGTTCATAGTTTCTTGAAGGTGGAGTCATAGGTAGATAGGATAGTGAAGGCGGCGTTTGGTACGCTTGCCTTTACTGGTCAGTGCATTGAGTGTAGGAATTGGGACGTCATGTTGCGGCTGTACAGGACATTGGTTAGGCCACTATTGGAATACTGCATGCAATTCTGGTCTCCCTGCTATAAGAAGGATGTTGTGAAGCTTGAAAGGGTTCAGAAAAGATTTATGAAGATGTTGCCACAGTTGGAGGGTTTGAGCTATAGGGAGAGGCTGAATAGGCTGGGGCTATTTTCCCTGGAGCGTCGGAGGCTGAGAGGTGACCTTACAGAGGTTTGTAAAATCATGAGGGGCATGGAACGGGTAAATAGACAAGGTCTTTTCCCTAGGGTGGGGGAGTCCAAAACTAGAGGGCATAGGTTTAAGGTGAAAGGGGAAAGATTTACAAGGGATCTAAGAGGCAACATTTTCACACAGAGGGTGGTGAGTGTACGGAATGAGTTGCCAGAGGAAGTGATGGAGGCTGGTGTTATTACAACATTTAAACCGCATCTGGATGGGTATATGAACAGGAACTGTTTACAGAGAAATGGGCCAAATGCTGGCAAATGGGACTAGATTTATGTAGGATATCTGGTTGACATGGATGAGTTGGACCAAAGGGTCTGTTTCCGTGCTGTATACCTCTTTGATTCTGACTCTCGAGACACGATTTCCCACGCACAAAGCCATGTTGACTATCCCTGATTAGTCCTTGCTTTTCCAAATACATGTAAATTCTGTCCCTCAGAATCCCCTCCAACAACTTACCAACCACTGACGTCAGGCTCACCGGTCTATAGTTCCCTGGCTTTTCCTTGCCACCTTTCTTGAATAATGGCACCAATTTGCCAACTTCCAGTCTTCCAGCGCCTCACCCGTGGCTATCAATGATATTATTATCTCAGCAATGAGCCCAGCAATTGCTTCCCTTGCTTCCCACTAAGTTCTCGGACCCACCTGATCAGGTCCTGGGTATTTACCCACCTTTACACATTTTAAGACATCCAGCACCACCTCCTCTATAACATGGACATTTCAAGATATCACTATTTATTTCTCCAAGTTCTCTAACTTCCATATCCTTCACTACAGTAAATACTTTCATAAAATACTCAGTCAGTATCTCATCCATCTCCTACTGTTTCACACATAGGTGGCCTTGTTGATTCTTAAGGGGCACTACTCTTTTGCCCTTAATCCATTTATAGAATCTCTTTGGATTCTCCTCAACCCTATTTGCCAAAGCCTTCTCATGACCCGTTTTTGCCCTCCTGATTTGTCTCAAATATATGCCAACTCCCTTATACTCTTCAAGAAATTCACTCGACCCCAGGTTTCTATACCAACCACATGCCCCTTTCTTTTACTTGACCAGAGGCTCAATTTCTCTAGTCATCCAATATTCCCTACACCTACCAGCCTTGCCCTTCATACTAACAGGAACATACCTACTCTGGACTCTTGCTGTTGCATTTTTGACTGTCCCAACTTTCCAACTGTCCCTTTACTTACGAAGAGCCTGTACCAATCAACTGTTGGAAGTTCTTGCCTAATACCCTCAAAATTGGCCTTACTCCAATTTAGAACTTTAACTTTTTGATTAGGTTTTCCTTTATTTTAAAAATAATAGAATTGTGATCACTGGCCCCAAAATGCTGTTCCGCTGACACCTCAGTCACTTACTCTGCCTTATTTCCCAAGGGAAGGTAGTTTTGCTCTCTCTCTGGTCGGTACATCCACATACTGAACAAGAAAATTTTCTTGTACACACTTAAATTCCTCTCCATCCAAGCCCTTAACACTGTAGCAGTCTCAGTCTATGTCTGGAAAGTTAAAATCCCTACCATTACAACCCTATAATTTTTACAGATATCCAAGATCTCCTTACAAATCTGTACCTGAATTTCTTGCTGACTCTTGGGGGGCCTACAGTACAATCCCAATAAGGAGATCATCCCTTTCTTATTTCTCAGTTCCACCCTTATAACTTCACTGGATGTACTCCCAGGAATACCCAAGTACAGCCCTCATGTTGTAGCTAACTAAAAACACCACTGCCTGTCCTTTCTTTATCTTCCTGGTGTTGTTCGTGTAACATCTCTCTGCCAGGCCATGCCCACGCCATCACATAGATTAGCCAAGGAGTTACAAAGGAGACTAAAGCACCTCATCAGCCAGTCACCCCACTCAACCCAAAAGTTCCTAAATTCCATCAAGGACAGGAGAATAGACGACAAGGAGATCATGGTATCATTTGACGTTACCGCCCTATTCACATCGATAGACATATCACTAGAAAGAGAAACACTGGCAACACCACTAAAACAAGAACAAGACCCGAGTGACCCAGTAGCTGAAGCTACTGGACCTATGCCTCACTACCCACTTTACCTTTAACAGCCAAATATATGAACAGATCAATGGGACACCCATGGGATCACCTATCTCCAGACTAATAGCTGAAGCGACGATGCAGAGACTCGACAGCTGGCCGTTCTGCAAATCCAACCGAAACTATGGATACAATACATGAACAACACCTTCATAATTATTAAACGGACCAAACTAGAGGAGACACACAAACTAATAAACAACACTCTCACCGGGATCAGATTCACCAAGGAAGTGGAAAAGAACAAACAGCTCCCATTCTTGGACGTCATGGTGGAACGCAGGATCAATGGGGATTTCCTAACAAAAGTACACAGGAAAGCCACACACACTGACCAGGTACTGAATTTCAACAGCAACCACCCTAACACCCACAAACGAAATTGCATAAAAACTCTATTTAAACGGGCAGCAACACACTTAAGCAACACAGAACTATGCCAAAAAGAAATAGAGTACCTCCGCCGAGTATTCAAGGACAACGGATACCGAAAAAACCGAGTCAGAAGGTGCCTGTTACACGAGCAACATCCGGAAGATACTGCAGGCCTCGACAGACTCAACATGCTACTTTACATCAAGAACACACTTGAACTGACCACAAGACTCCTACAACCACTGGGCATCAGAGTGGCACACAAACCCACATCAACCTTACGCCAACTGCTAACCCAAACCAAAGTCCCGTTACCCACTTTAGACAGGACCAATGTAATATACAAGATCCCCTGCAAAGACCACGACAAACATAACACTGGACTGACAGGAAGAAAAATAGCCACAACAGTAATACTCACTCATCTTCATCCACATGGATAGGAAAACCACCAATTTAATTGGGACAACGCCAGGATCCTGGGACAGGCTAAGCAGAGACAAGCATGGGAATTCCTAGAGGCCTCGTTCTTCACTAAGAAGGCCATCAACGAACACACACAGCTAGATCCTATATATACTCCACTGCAAAGTAAAACTGGAAGAGAGGTAACCCAGCTCAACGGACACCA